TTCACGATAGAATGAAAATTCAATAGAAATTATGAATATCCATTACATTATGCTCTGAAAAATTATTAGAATAAGGAAAATTCAATAAATATATTCCTAAATTTTCAATTAATTGAAAATTCAGCGTAGTTCGGTACTATAGAATCATGTTCTCATTGAAAATTCAGATAAGTTAAGGAATTCTCGCTTTTCTACTGCCGTAGAATGTAGAACTGAATTGAGATTTCAGTGAAGTTTGAAATTTTATGACCCCTCCCTCCTGAATCGAATTCAATGTCAGTTTTCTGAATATTAACACCAAACGGGCTATACAGTTTCAATTCTAAGTTAATTTTTTAGCTCTCATTGACAGATTTATCATAACCGAAAGCAGTGGAACTTCTGTGGTAGAAAATTATGATTTCTGTTCAAAAATCCTCGAATTGAAGTTCAAAATGAAATTTCATTGTCATTAAATTATTAGTAATCATCTACAGGTACAACCGGGATTACTTAAACCCCATCGCATTTTCTTGACTCGCATCCTTACACTATTAGAAAAAAAAATGAAATTTCATGCACAGTTGATGACTAATTTTCAGGACAGTGACACTGAATGCGATTTAGGGGGAAAAAAATCATGAAATGTCAGGTTTCACTGAAAATTCAACAAAATTCCAGAATTTTAAGCAGCTTAAAGATGAGAATTTCTTAATTTATTTGAGTCTCCAATTTAATATAAAAATTCAGTACCAAATTACATGTAACTTGCAGTGAAATCTGAAATTTCATTATTATTTCCCCTGAAATCGCATTCAGTGTCACTGTCCTGAAAATTCCAGAATATATTTACCGGAATTTCCTGATTTTCTATTTATTTTCAGTTTAAAATGGAACTGAAATTAACAGTTCTCTTTAATATTTTCACGTAATTCTGCATTTTCATTCATAAAATTCCTTAAAATTTCATTGGTAATTAAATTCGATAAAAATTTCCAAATAGTGTACCGTAAATTTCGGCCAAGAATTTTTAACAGTGTACGAAAATCCATCTCGTGACATTGAAAAATCAATATCGTTCATTCCCCAATCTTTCTCAGTGTGATGGGTCTTTTCTACTGAACGTAAATGCAGCAGTGAGGATGGTATGAACCATCCCAGTGTATCTGTATCCTCATGGAGGATCATTATAGAGCAATTTTATTCCTGATATCAAACATCGATTCGCATCTGACTCCGACTATTCAACCAATTTGATCCTTCATTGAAAGTTGATGGACAAAAGGGCATTCGCTCGTTCATTTACATCGATTCATAATTCAGTTATAGAATTCACCCTCCCAGGAGCACGAATCTTACCTATTGTTTATATCGATAAATTGCATCCCCGTTGAGGTAAGTATTTGCCAAGGTATAAATGCAGTTGTTTATTAATTGTATACATTGCAGAAAATGCTTCGGGAACGAGAGCCGCGTTTAATTATCGCAATATCGTTTATTCCATCCACTCAACTAGGTTTTAATCACATCGCAATTTTTCATCAGATTCATTCGCTCGAAATGATTGTGCAAATGGTTTTCATTCTCCAGAATGAAGCAACGAGAATGAACATACTTTGCACTGTTAAAAATGATTTTGTCATGGGAGAAATGCAATTATTTGTCTGGCACGGATTCCCCGGAGTGGAATCACATAGATAAAATAACACTATCTCCAATTGCGGGGGGTTCGATAGTCATACAATTCCACCGCAATCCAGATTAAAGATATTATCCGAGTGGGTTGAACTCCGCAAGGAAAATGGTTTCCGAAGAATTACATTTTTGATGTTTAAACATCTTAACGATATCGAATCTGAACAATTCAATGGAATCGACAAAAAACAATTGGAAAAATTCATGGGTTATCAGCATTATTCAAATTAAGGATGTTTAGCCAAAACCCACATTATTCGCCATAATTTTAATATTGTCTCATACGCCAGGTTCATATTTAAGCCACACGTTAGTGATAATCTTAATCCTTCCATCGGGGAATCCTAGTGACGAATCAATGTCTGAAAATCAGTTCTTGTAACATTACACTTAGGTAAAAAACGTGACCGCGTGAACTTTGATCGAAATGTTGCATGGGTTTGACACTTAAGATATTGAGAAAAAACCACAAGCCATTTACTTTAGACTCTGGAGAATCTATCGCCGGCGAGAACAAGTAGGGGACCGGGCCATATAGGCGTGATATCTTCGATTGATTTTCGAATTCCTCTAAAAAAAAATTTGACCGCCATTACGAGTCGAGCAACGCGACAACACCACACAACAGCTGATCGAGGTAGGTAAAGTGCTGGAAGCATATGGACACGTATAACACACACAAGCAATCATCTCACTATTACAACCCCACTACTAGCCGAAGCGTGCGATGTTGCCCGACCAAAATTTGACTGTTACCACTGCAGTCATCAGTCCTCCATTACCTATGAACATTTTCTTTAATTTTTTATTTTGAGACCGGAAAAGTACGCCATAACACTTCTAATTTGATGAGAAAAATTATTTGTAACGTGAGTGATTGTTTAGTCAATTTTATTTTTATTTTCAACTGAGTTGTCCACTTGATAAGTCACGCATCCTTGAATTTGGACAAAAATAGTTTTTTTAGGGACATGTTTAAAACGTGCACGGGACTTTCCACGTTTATGAGCGATTATTTATTAAAAAAATATTAATTATCATGATTAATATAAGTGAATTCTAATTTTGAAGTTTTCACTTTCTAATATTTAATTTAAATCATCGCGTCTTTACACTCATTGCAATAGAAATTTTGGACTAATGATGTGTTCACTTTAGCAACATGAGCGAAGGATCGTTTACCTTAGTTTTTGAGTCTCCATACGTCCCAGTCAACGTTGAAATTGAATATGCACATGCGGGAGGCTGTCGTTTGCAAGCACGAGACGCGATCGAACTTTTTCTGCTAAGATTGTTCTTACCAGCTGAGCCAGATACAAAAGAGCGGGTGGATTGGAAGCGGGATTTCCAGTTGAAATCCACATGGTTCGCCACACTCGTATTTTCTGCATCGTCTGCTTAAACGGGTCATTAAAGATTCCAGAGTTTATGTGCATACATGCACTATGATTTCACCCGAGATTTCAAGTGTATTGACACATCCCGAATTGATGGAAAATTCAGTTTGTACATGATTTGACAATTATTTTTCTATTTCTCCAGTAAGACTCAAGCGATGTGAAAAGGCAGAGGGTGATGGAACGGGTAAATGCTTTCTCAAATTTTATAAATTCGATACTTTTACCTCTTTCACTTCGGATGTACCATTCTCCCTCGTTCCTTCAGCCCTTGCTCAGAAAATTTGTTAGTTTCTTCTGAAGAATCTTTTGTACGGGAGGGAGAGCCCATTCAAGTGAGAAAAATTGAATTTATATTGAGTTTACAACGACTCGACGTTCACCCAGAAACTCGTACGTATTTCATACGTCATTATTCTGAAATTACAAAATGTGTGACCCGACACACGTGTTTCTGCCGCCAATTCCGGTATCATCATGACCTAATTCATATTTTTCTGAATTATCTGTGAAGTTAAACACGTAATATATTGGCGAAACAGAAATAGTCGAGAGAAATGATAAATAATTTCGTTTCGTTTGGCGGAGGATTTCTCCCTCAGGATTTCTCTCCTCATTACCGTTACATTGTGAACAACTGTCGAGTTAATATGCAGTTGATAATAGTCGGATCAATGATGTAGTAAATTACATGAGGAGACGTTTTTGGCGGGTAAGAAGAAATGGCTGTTACATTTATTGGATGGACTTGGTACCTGCGATATGTACAGTATGATATATTCGTACACTTTCTGCGATTTTGGGTGGAAATGACAAAATAATGCATTTCGATACGAATAAGACGGAATTTTCACGCGTGTGAAGCTGGCGGCCCGAGGCGAAGCCGAAGTGAAATAGTACAGTGGAACCTCCATAACTGCACGCCTCCCGGGGTTTGGGTTCTCGGAATTTGCATTTATGAAAGGACCCTTCTTCGCCAGCGAAAGAGGGAGAGTGCTGAGTTAGAAAGAGATGCGTGTAGCGGCAATGGTGGGGGAAAGAGCCACTAGGCCCACTGCGCGCGATTATCACGGATAACCACAGACACGGCGAAGTACCGGGTAAACAGAATACTATTGCGCACAGTCCTCGCGCATTGTAGATAGAGAGCGGAAGAGGTTAGAGAGAGAACGGGCATAAAGGGGAATTGTAATGGTGGGGGAACACTTCCTCTCGTGTGGTGGGACAGCGTGCACTTACGTAGGTGAGCAGTTACGGAGATCCCACTGTAATTAGATAAATTTATCCAAGAAGTCTACCGGAAATTTCAACCCGAAATTTTGACAGTGTGATCTATCAACTGCAATTTCAACAATAACATCGATTGTTTTCGATTGCCTAATGGAGGCAGGTGGAGGCATCGGAGCGATCAATCAATGTACTTTGACAATCTTTCCTGCATTGAAATATTTTTCAATACTTTAACTTTGATTCAAGCCAAAATTCATCTCACGTTACATAATATTTCACATTTAATTCATTATTTGAACCTTAATAGTCTGCGTTTGATTGTTCAATTTAGACCGCCCGGAAACATCCGAAATTGTTTTGAAAAATTAATATTTTATTTCTTGAGGAAAACGTCGCAAGAGTCATTCTAAATCCTCTACATGCATTTGGTCACTTTTAGGTTTGAAAGACGGCAATTGGGCCGGTTTCACCAAGCCCAGGTACGAAAATCCTCAGTTGAGAATCGGAATAAATAAAAATAATTAAGAAAAAAAGTTCATCGAAGTTATTTCCCCAAAACACGTAGTATGTCGATGTATCATTACGGTTTGCCAATAATGCCACTAACTATAAAGTATGAAGTCCACATTCATGACTCAATGGCTGAATGACAGCACTCTACAACGAATTCCTAAAATTGTCCAATTGTGTACGAAATTGACTCCAGACATTAATTTATTCTGACGATTTATTTGGCTGACAATATTTATGAATTTATTTTACATGCAATACTATTCATTATTACACTATACCATTCTTTTTCAATAATTGATTACTATCACTGATTTTTATAAATTATTATCCATTCCGAACTTCAGAGACCCTCTAGGAATGAGTATCCCTTGTTGGACTGCTTGATAAAATGTTTCAAATCTTCTTTGAAATCGAGTGAATGCAATCTGAGTGCAAGGAATCCATTCCCTCCGTCGGAGCCTTGATGAAACAGACCAATGCCTCCAAGTGGTGTAGGTGGATTAACTTCAACAGTAAGACCATTAAAACGAGGTCGAACTAGTTGTGACTTGTTGTGGCCACTGTTTTCGATGGGAGACGTGTGCAAATCCAACCAGCTTGGTGATTTGGTTGGTTTGAAGAGTCTTTTTCTAGAATGAACAATTTCGCTGTAACCAGTGATATGTGTATGGAAAATTACACAATGCAATTAAAATGACAATACAATGATGATGCTGCAATTAATTTAATTACAGTCAAGGCTTTATCTAAAATACCTTAGGGAGAGTAGGAGAGAGGTATTCCGGGAATCCATATACCCCCACTACGCACGGTTATAGAGAGGAGAAACATAGGGATCAGTGGCTTGAAATAAGATACTTCAGTCGTTGCGGCCGAATTCTACAGGGAGAAAATTATTTGCTGAATTTCGCCAACTAGTTGGTGAAATTTAATAACTAATTAATTAAAATTCAGAAAAGATTTTTCAATTTCATTCAATCAATTTTGACTATCAAACTAGATGATAGGGGCATCATTTATATCTCGACAATCGATCAATGTCTCCCCTAGAAGATATTTTTGCTATAATCTATAGTTCTATGTTAAATTTGATCCATAAAATAAATCGACGCACGTTTATTGAAAATTTAACAAATGGTTGTCGAATGAAATTGAAAAATATTTTTCCGTATTGACCTTCACTTTTCCTCATCCAGGGATTGGTACTGAGCCTTCCCCAAACTTGTAAAAGTGAAAATCACTACGGAAAAATATTGTTCACGACTAGTGCCATGGATTTTTTTAACTCGCGTGGTTGGCCAGTCCTCGCGTTCGGCTCGAACGTTAACTCCGCGCAAGTAAAAAAACTCCCTGTCACTCGACCTGAAATATACTATTTCTGAATTTTAATTGAATAATTGTTAAATTTCCGCATCTACTTGTTGAAATTCACCAAATAATTTCCTCCGTGTATGGGATTTTGATTTTTACTGCATGTATATTGCTACCTCATCAATTTATACGAGTTTAATATTTTGAATTCGCATAGCCTGCGTTCCCATTTCTCTCTAAACATAACTCTGTGTGATAAAATGGCAGCACTTGAGAGTAATCACTTCTGGACACCTAAAGTAGGGGAGGATGGGGCAAAACGGCCCCCCTTCAATCGTCAATATTTTCCGATTCAATAATCCGATTGGGATGAGTTAGAGCTCGTTTTGAAGAATGAAAAATTATCTTCAAAATGAAGTTGAAACTGGGAATTTTCACAATGTCATTCACAAGTTATTGACAATTGAAGGGGGGCCGTTTTGCCCCACCCTCCCCTACAAATTATTTAAAGTACCTAAATTAATTGAATTTTAATTAGGCTTTACTCCATTAAGATTATTCTACGTCATCATTTCAATAATTATAGCGTCGAAGAAAAGAGGTGACCCTTGGGCTTGTTTAACCCTTCTGATTACTTCACTTGACTCACCTTTGAACTTTTGACCCTGAAGGTCATTTAACCCTTGTAAATACTTCATTCGTCCCTCTCGTTTGACCCTTAACTCCGCTTGATCCTTATACTCACTCCTTTCCCGTTGAAAAATGGTCGAGGTCATAGGTATCTTTTAAGACGCCCACGGAACTAAACATTCGGGAGGCGATAAAAGTGCCGAGAGTGGGGGCAGGCCTCGAGCGCTCGGAGCTCGAGGTATCTTATAGAGAGGTATCTTATATAAAGTCTCGACTGTATATGATTGAATTTCTTCGGTTCTCATTTTCTTACAAAGAGTTATCATCCTCGTCATGTGTTATGGTTTCGCGCATTACTATACTGTCGTCCAACAATGTTCCGGTCCAGAAGTTGAATTTTTGTCCCTCCACCTTGATACCAAATCCATTGTCATCGTAAAATCCAATACCTATAAATAACAAAAAAAAATCCGTGAATCGATGAAACCACAGTTAATGCCCACGAAGGTAGAAACAAAATGAAATTACCAGTCACAGCGTAATCCGATGGAAAAATGACATCTTTGAGAAAGAATCTCCTCTGAACTGCACTGATGCGCACTTTTTCTGGCTTCTGAGGTGGATCAACCCAATGATTTGAGGAGGGATCAACCCAACCATTTGGCATCAATCGTCCCTGCTTTATTTTTATGTGAAGAATTTTATTTTGGAGTACAAATTGTACACCAGTAATGACCCTAAAAAATTCAACAGGAATGAACATTTGATGAATATTTCAGGATCATATGTAGTCAACTCACATATTGTTGGACACATTAGCAAAATTGAAGTTCAAACTTATATAAATCGAAGGTTCTTTGTTGCAGCTGCAAACACAATACTTGTCGTTAACGATGGTTTCATCGTCATCATCCTCGTCATAATCCGCGCTATAATATTCCCATATTCCTCGTGTTTCAGTACAATTACCCAGGTTCATTCGCCCTCCGTTCCGATCTGTCCATGCATCCACCGTGTGATTATTTTTCTATTCAATTGAGATAAGTCAATAATAGTACATTAGAGTACAAGGGCACAAATTTCGTTTTTAACGAATGTGTAGTTTACAGGCCGAGCCGAAGGCGAAGACTGTACACACATTCGTTGAAAACGAAATTTATTACCGAGTGCTCTATAATATTTTATGTCAAGTCGTGCAGAAGTCGAGTTCTGAGCAGGCTGCGCGAAGCGCAGCGTGCAATAAACTCGACTTTTTGCACGGCGCGACATCAATATTATCTCTATAATTGATTCATAGGTAATAGTTATACTACCGAGCGGCAAATGGTGACTTCCGTGACAGAAATACAGGAATTAATGTTTCCCGAACACTTGTCTTTGCTATAATGCCACTTCATCCTGTTTTTTTCAATTGCTTCTTCACAGTCGCTAATTTTTGCCTTATGATAGAAGTATGATGGCTCTCCGATCCCTTTGCTTTCAATATGAATTTTACCTGATGAAGTTTTCAATATCTCAAAGTTAAGTTCATGACAATTATTATTTTAGGAGTTTCCATGGAAGCTGCATTACCTCCAGTAGCCTCAGCGGTTATGGGATCACAGCTTTGTATATGTGATGGGAAATTATTCACGACATCAGAAAATAACTTGACGTAATTGGTGAATCGAACTTGGAACTTTTGTTGGGCGGCCAATAGATCCTTTTTCCAAGCTGATTAATAAAAAGGAACTGTATCAGTAATAGACCGACAGTCACAGTTGGGTGAGAGAAGTGTAACTCCATAGCTTACACGGTCGAATAGGAGATTTGATTTCAAAAATGTGAACCAAGGCAATCATCGCTTTCACTTCATAGCCTATTGTTACTTGGAAGAGTTGAGTTAAGAGGGGGTGCATCGTTTGCCCGCCTTTGCATTGAGTATCGGCGGCCAACTAAAGGGAGATATGAAAGTTAGAAAAAAACATTATCCGCCGAAGAAAAAAATTAGCGAAAAAGTACTGCTTGAATTACTGGAATTGGGTAGAAACCCAATGAACGCCAGAGTTTTGGGATACAGTAGACTCTCGCTAGTTGTTCATCGAAAGGGCTGTAGGGGTACCATTTCCATGAAATGACCAACTTTCTACCGGCCTCCACTCCTCAACCAATGCCGACCCAATTTGGCAGAAAAATGAGAGGGAATGAATAGTTTTCTTTTCGAATAAAATTATTTCAGCAGCGAAGTGATAAAACGGTTTAAGTCGACTTATTCCCCAGTTGAGTTTTTGAGGAATATTTCCGAATCTAAGGGAGATTTTCGTAATTACAATTATTGTAGCTCTCAATCGGCTCTTCAAAAACGGTTATAACAGAAATTTTGTTTCCTTTTCCTTAGATTCCGAGATATTCATTGAAAACTGGTCAACAGTCAAAATTGACTTGTACTCTTTTATCACTTCGCTACTGATTTGCACCTCTATGAAAGCGATAAGACAGCTGAGATTGAGGGGCAGCGCTCGAGTGTCCGAGAATTAGGGGATTAGGGGAAAACGAGCAACTAATGGGCGCGCAACTAGCAAGAGTCTACTGTACTCCAATTTCATATTGTGGCTCTCGTAAAGAATAATTTAATGTTCTAATAGTTCGTTCATTTTTCATGTTTGTGGAATCTATAAAAAATTACGATGAATGAGAATATTATTACCGAATTCAGTTTAAAAAAAGTATTGATGAAGTTGTCCTCTTGTCCTGGGGTTGTCAAAGATAGTGATGAATTGAGGAAAATTTCAAAATCATCAAATGTTTTTTCAAGCTTTGGTAACAGCAATTTTGCGAAGGTAAAATTGACCGCCACATTAGTACTGAAAACCCACTCGTACGATTCATCAATCGTCTCCAGTATTGGCTTAGCTCCTGCCATCCACCGTTTTAATTTTTCTCGCAAAGATACTGCCGTCGAATCTTGCCCCATAGCCACGAGATTTGCCACATCCATGTTATAATTAATATTATTTACATTCTGTATAATGCCATCGAATCCTGCCTTCATTCTTAGGCTTAATTTCAAATGGTCACCATAAGCTAATTCAGACAGTTCCGTCATCAGGGTGGATATTCTCCGACCTAATATTCATTTCTCATTTGTATTTTCGACTTTTCAAGATCATGATGAATCATAATTATATTCATGCTAAATGGTTTTTCGTCTTACCTACATCCAGGATGTATTGCAATCTAGATGAACTCGAGATCCTGTGAACAGAATTTGTTGTGAATTTTCTCTACTCATGCGCATGATTCACGCACGAAAAAATTTAATAGAAAAACCTATCGAATTCGTTAGAAAATTCTATTGAATTTCTATTGAACTGTTCTATTAGTTTTTGGCCGATTCTATTGAAATGTTCAATAGAAAATATTCAGTATAAAAAGTCAACAGAATTCCATTTTTCTATCCAACTTATTCTATTGAAATATTTTCTATAGAATTTCCTCGGCTTAAATTTTCTAAGTTTTTTCATTTGATTTTTTTGATGAGAAGAAAAAAAAAACTCAAAAACTCAAAAGCTGAAGTCTAATTGTCCTACGTGTAATGTGACATCTTACTTTTAAAGAAAATTGAGTTTTGTAACTAGAGGAAGCTACGTCGGCTTACAAAATTTTATTCTTTTAGGGTAGCACTAATTTATCTCTTCGATAATAAATTATTTATCGAAAACTCGAAAAAGAGTAAAATTGAACACAAGTGCGTCATATCATTAAGCGGAGACTACTATGAGTTTTAAAAGTCGCGGGCTATTAGAATGAAATTTCTCATACATTGAAGATCGATTAAGTATGTCCAAGAACCAATAATTAGTGCAAAAAAATTAATTGTTTATTACTGAATATAGATCATGGGAAATTGGAGAAAATGAGTATACAATACTATATCATTGTCAAATCGCGACATTTCGAGTAATATTTAATCTTCCTCAAGCTCTCAAAACCAGCAAATACAAGAAAATTCATTTAATATTTATAATAAACAATTCATCGATTAATTGTTTAGTGTTCGTTTGCTCCACAGACGCGTAAAATGTTAAAAATAGTCCAGGGCCTCCAGTTTTCGACCTATAGAAGATTTTTTTTCATAAATAAATAAAAATTACGCGTGAATGTACCACGAATCGAATAACCATAGTTTAATATAACAATTCGGAGTTTGAAACTATCGAAAACCTTAATTACTAGTGCACCAATTTTGCACCATAAAGACCTCGAATCTTTGTTATGTGTTTTTTTATATTTAAAGTGGTAAATAGAGTGAAATTTTTCCAACAATTACATTCTATCATCAAATCCTTCGTGATCAGAAAGAGAAAAAAATTTTCGAGTTGATGGTTGTGGAGGAAATCGGGTGGGCGGTATTGCCTGCTGTGCGGTACAGTCGCACCCTCCCCTACACAGCCAATTTCGTTTTTTTTTAATAAAAAATTATACCATTCATGTAAAACAGCCCAAAAAATGTTTTTGAAGGAATCAAGAATATAATTTTAATATTTTAAAAATCATTTTCAGCCTATTTTCCATGAACGGCGTAAATTTTGATAGTAAACAAAACAGACGTAGCTGTGTAGGGCTAGAAGTTCAAAAAATTAATTCGTAATTGTGATTGTACACATTTTTTCAGAAATTTTGGAAAAAAACCTCTGTAGCTCAAAAATTGGAAGCCCTGGACTATTTTCAGCATTTTAAGCGTCTGCATGAGAAATTTCACTCCAATAGCCCGCGACTGTCAAAATTGATAGTAGTCTCCCCTTAAAAAAAGTGTGAAACAAAAAATGATGTTTTCGAATGTTGCAAACACCATATGAGAAGCATCGAAGAATAACAATTTTGGAAGTACAAAACCGGACTAATAATTGACACAACTTATTCCGATAGTTACCATCCGCTCAATAAATTTCCGGGTCTGTAGTCCATAATCAACTGTGCCAAATATCTCCTGAATGGAAGCAAACGCACCTCCAGGGAAATTAATCCAGAAATATTTTGAACACCTTTATGAAGCAATCCAAGTCCCGATAATGCTCTTGGTGGTTTAGTTTCGACAGCTACTGCATCGAAGAATGGTACTGTCGACTGTAAAAAATCTTTTTCGATGGGCAAAGTCTCCAATTGGATAGTATGACTGTTCGGACCGGAATCTGATGTGTATAGAACATTCAAACCTTCTGCATCCAAACCTGGTTTTTCTTTGGTAAAGGTTAAAGTTTCACTGGAATCATAAGAAGTGAAAATGGAGACAATTATTCCACTGAGAGTTAGTCATGTAACAGTCACAATTAAGGACTTACAATCTATGGAAAGGTTCCGTAGAAACCTGAATGAGACCTGGCAGCAATATTCCCTGTGACATATCAAACTGTTTCCCCACTATTCTAATGGCGATTTTGTCTCGCTTCATGAAGAACTGAGCTCCTAGAATGGACAATTTTGCAACCATTTGACAATTGAAAATTGTTTGAGGAATGAAGAAAAAAGAGAATATTCAAGATTCTGGATAAGGTATCGTGCACTGGGTAAAAAGTTTTTTTGACAAGGCCGTTTTCACTTGTATCAAGAAATTCATGGCTCGAAATCGGACAAAGAAAAAATACCTGATAATGAAAGTGGAAAAACTTTGGTCAAGAGATTTTGCACTTGTATCAAGACGAGGATAATTTGTTTGTGACCAGAAAGTGATTTCTCAAACCAAGTCTACACTGGTTAAAATTTTCGTATGAATTTTCTGTACCGGATACCGGAAATTTTTATCGTGTTTAATTTCCACTGAAATTGCAGGGAATTTTGACACTGAAAAATCAAATATTCCATTAATTTTCGGTTCAAATGATCTGAAAATCAATACAATCCTTCATTTTTCAGTAAAATTAGTCGGTGAAAATTCAACCAAATCAGAAAAATTCAGAGAAAAATTGAAAATTCATGTAATTTTGTTTTTAAATATTCATGCTCCATTGAAAATTCATTCATGTTGTGAAATTTCCATCTCACTCTTACTGAAAACTCATGAATTTCCATGAATTTTACCTAAAACTTGAAATTTTATAACAAGTTTTCATAACAAAATTTCTAACCGTGTAGTTAAATTAATTTATCGGATATCTTCTAAGTCTCAAATTCAAAATATTTGAATGTAAATCCACTTGACTAAGTTCGATAATTGGCTTTTTTGCTAGGAAGCTGGCGATCTTGTACGAAGATTGAACTGTATAGCCAAATAAATCGGCAACAAAAAACGTTACATGGCGTTTTTTAGGGATTACGAATTGCAAGCAAAATTAATTACCAATAAGAGCATATCCAAACGGCAAAACAGGATTATTAAGCAGGAAAGTTCTGGAGTCTATGGTTATAGCTCTTACTTCTGGATTGTGAGGCAGTTGCACCCAACTCTCTGTTTTTGGATTAACTTTACCGTCTTTCATTAATTTCCCCTGCTTCACTTGAATATGAAGAATTTTATTGTGCTGTACGAATCTCGCACCAGTGATAATCCTGAACAATTCAATCAGTGTTATTATTTGATTATACATTGGGAATTGGTCAACGAACGAACAAAAATGGCTTCTTGGGGCTCAATAGGGTAGTCCAGACGTTTTTTTTGTTTCTATCACTTCTTCATGATGAATAAATAAATATGAAAAATATGAACTCGAATTTAGCCTGGAACATAATGCTCCAATAAACACAAGCGGTTTTAACGTTAACAATAATCCTCAAATGCAAGAAGGGAGATCTTTCTACTTAGTTGCCAAAAATAATATCACTTTGTCACTGTTTATAGAATATTTGCTTCATCTTGACAATATTTTATTGGAAATTTACTCATTCTCAAGATAATCCCATACTTGAACCGAATTTTAAATGGTTGAAATCCCATGAAACGAACACAAAGAGATAACTCTTATTTGCACCAAACTCCTCGTCATGTTATTGATGACTTTTCGTGAAAATAAAAAAAACAAAATGGTTTTTAAAGTAATTATCATTTGGAAAAAAACAGATTTGCCGCATGAAGTCTGTGAAACATTTGTGAATGCCACGAGTAACATTCTATTTTGGAGATTATTATACCTATTTGATAGTTCGAAACTCGAATTATATATTGATGAAAATTTACAAAAAAATCCCCTAAAACTAGTCATTGACAAAAAATTGTAAATTTTCAAAAAATCATAACTTCCTCAATTTTTAATATTTTCCAATGATTTTTTTCTCAAAATGTTCTTTTGAAGACTAACTTTTCAGAAAAAAATTGATATAGAGCTGCGCTCTTATATTAAAATTAATCAACACTAAATTGACCAAATTCACGAAAAATTACAGTGGAGCACGGTGAAATGGGTGCAATGTGACGGTTGCGAAGAGATTCACTGGCCAGCACCGTAAATTTCTCCGCGAAATACATGAAATGTTCTTGGTAAATCGAAGAAAACTTTCTGCATCGCGCAGCAAAAATTCACGTGCGAGCACCAGAATATTTCCGAGTTCGTCAAAATGAACCCATTTTATTGTGCTGAAACCATAATTTTTCTGATATTCTTTTTCTTTGTAGGGAATCAAGTGACTTTGGTTACTTAGCAGGGAATGACCTAATTCCTCAAAAAAATAATGTGAATTGCATACCCCCACTTTACGTTCGTCAGGTGGTCCCACAGCGTCAATGCATTCCGGCATTGAACTACACGGAGATAAATTTTCTAGAAAAATTCTAGTGCGAGTACTGGAAAAAATTACAATCCACCGGCTATGAAAAATTTTTTTCATAGCCGCCTCTTTTCCCGTGCTAGCACGAGAATTTTTCTAAAAAATTTCTCTCCGTGTATACGTTCACCCACGTTTTTCATTATAGAGGACTAATGGTACTCGGATAGCATTAATTTATGAATAACTCACATATTGTTGACCACATTCGCGCGACTCATGCTCAAACTGATAGAATGTGTTGAAGAATTTCGATGGCATTTGCAAAAACACCTAGAGACGGACGTGTTGCTTTTAGGGTGATCGCTAAAATACAGTTGATCATCAATAGAGCAAGATTTCATTTCCCCGTATGCTATGTCAGGCGACATAGACAGCTTTGTTACTCGATCGTCCTCCTGTATGAATAGATTTACCGATTATTAAGAGCTCACCGAGTTATCGAGAATGCATTTGAATTTCATGTGTATCAACGGATACATTTCACTAAAAAAAGTATCAATTCTCGTAATTCTCAGTACCACACACAACTTCGAGCTTTCCTTCATTTCCAAACACCAGTTTTCTTCGTTTTTTAACCTCGGGCAACTCTCGGTCGTACCGAATGTGCCGGTCGTGCAAAATCTGCGCGAAACCATATTTATAAACATTTTTGGCTCTAAATAAACGTAAGGTTGCTTAAATGCTCCGATTTCATAATATGCAACAGGTGAATCATCTCGTTCTCTGAAATCTTTCATATAAATGTGGGAGTTATACAATTCTGAGTACTGAAAAGGTGGAAATTAAATAGATAAAAATTACACCTTTAAACCGTCGAGAAGATGAAGCATCATTAAATCTCACAATTTGCGAAGTATTATCCAGAGCGCTGAACAGGGTAGTGATGTAAGTCAGATAATACTTTTCGAACCTGTTCACAGCGTGCTTCATCCTTCTGTGCCACTCTATTTTGAAAAGAAGTAAAGTGTTTGTAATAATCATAATTGAGAATTTGAGAAGATATTCCCAGAGGAAGAAAAACTTTCTAGTTTTAAGTAAAATACACTGTTTTTGCTTCCGAATGGAAGCATTGTATTCCTCTGAATTTAAGTTTCCAGTTTTCTTCGTGAAGATCACTAATTTGGGGGTCAGGAGTCCGAATCTGATGTTTTTAGACCCTGTTCGTATGTATGTATGTATGTGCGTGTATATGTGTGTATGTGACCGATTCAGTTTTTTCACGATAACTTCAAAAATAATTATCTAAATCAATCGAATCTGGCCTAGAAATATTCGCTTTTATGTTACACAGACCGAGTTCGAAGATGGTATCGATTGCGCTTTTAGTTTTTGAATTATTCTCAAAAATTTGGCCCAAGGTTGGACCAATGTTGGTGTAATGTTGGAACACGGTTGGCGCAATGTGGGCGCGAGATTGACGCAAGGTAGGCCCTTATGGGGGTCTTATGGGAAAAGGCAATATCCATTCAGAAGCATATTGCTAATTCATTAGCAAAAACAGGCACCATAATTGACAAAATTGAAAGCAATTGCCCACTTGTTCAATGGTGTATGCACTGTTAAAAAATTTCGTCTGAATTTTCTGTGTTAAATCCTGGAAATTTTGATTGTGTTTAATTTCCACTGAAATTTCAGTGAACATTGACATTGAAAAATCAAATATTCCATTTATTTTTGGTTTAAATGATCTGAAAATCAATAAAATAACCGATTTTTCAGTTGAATTATTCCGTAAAAATTCAGAAAAATCAGGTAAAAATTGAAAACTTATGTAATTCTCATTCTGAATATTCAGGTTTCATTAAAAATTATTATTTTATTCATTTCCAAATCATTTGAACAGAAAATCAATGGAATATTTGATTTTTCAACGACAAGATTTCCTGAAATTTCAGTGAAACTTGAACACGACAAAAATTTGCGGAATTTAGCACAGAAAATTCAGAACATGTTGAACATGTCCTAATATATAGAACTTTATAAATTTGTGCAAACTCTGTTGTCAAGACCAATGGCTTGACTTTGATTATTCCTACGTTTTATCACACGGAAAAAAAGTTGGTGAATAATTACCGAACAAGTTAAGTAATCATGGAGCAGCCTCAATTTTCAATACTTTTTCACCTCAAATAGGAGAAAAAGTGCGAGATTAATAGTGAATTTTACTCCGTTGGTCGGGAAAATTTACTGAATGTCAATAATTGCTATTATTTTTCGTCTAATTTTTCTGTAACGAAGAATGATTTTTATCGAATCCGTTTGGTAAATTTTATTCAACAGGAGGATAATTTTTGGATCCACAGATGTATGTTTTCACTGGGAGAATCGTGAGACATCCTCTAAACACCACTATTTTTTCACTGAATTCCTTGTCGCTCCATGATTACCATTCGTATATTAAAATTTGTCACGATTTTCTAGGTAATTTTTATCGGCTGCGCTCATTTTTCTTGTTTTGGACTATACTTTCCAATAAAAAATAGAACAAAAAACTTGCAAATTTTGGAGGCATTTTTTCATATACAGAATTGGCGGATTCGCTCAGACAGTTATTCATTTATAACATTCTTTGTGACATGAGTTTTATGCGACCATTATATGATTGGAAATGGGGCGCATATTTAACAACTTAATTAATACGTCGTGAATTACATACCATAGGGCTTGAAAACTTGAGATAATACATGGAGGACCTTTATTTCAGAAATCATCATCGATTCGAAATAGTAAAGCATGTTCTCTTGAATTCCTGTTTTATTGGGTTGAAGAAAATGCTACAACAAAAAAATTAATGTTCGTCAGTGAAAAAAAATCAATTTAAAAACGGGCAAAATCTCGATTACGATATGAGCAGCGCCATGTCAAACCGCAAAGCCAAAGAAGGTCAATGACTGGGTTCTTCTCGCGAATTTTCTCCCGAAAAGTTGGCGTGCGAACGAAAATTTTGAAAAAGAAATATCGAAAAATATTAAAAATGAAATAAGTTACGATTTTTCGATAATTTCTTGTTTTTTTACATGAATATTTTCAAGTGCTTTTTTTTAATTTTTCTTCCAACTTTACAGGAAAGGCGCACACTTTTATATTAAACAAAACGAAATTAGCTGTATAGGAGTCAAATTTCAAAAAAACTAACTGACAATTGTTATTGTGCACATTTTTTCAAATTTTTTGAAAAAAAACCTCTGCAGCTGAAAATTTGGAGTTCCTGGACAATTTTTAATATTTTAAGCGTTTCTGAAGCAAACGAACAATAAACAATTAATTTTTAGACACATATAATCGATCTTCAGTGCATGAGAAATCTCATTTCAATCGCCAGCGACTTTTAAAACTCATAGTTGTCTCCCCTTCAGGTTTAATATTTTCCAATGATTTTTCAAAACGTTTAAAGGTCAACATTTCAAGAAAAAATTACCGAGGAGATCCCCGCCATCTACTTTTGTAGCATTGTATTTTGATCTGGAATAACTCATTAACTTCTAATTCTCTAGATTGAGGTATTTCATTCGAAAAAGGTACATGGAGACATTAATGAGGAATTCGCATGTGATGTTGATGATAACAGTTGGATCATGCATGAATTTATTCAAAAATTTACTAGATTCGGTTTTTAAGTTACCAACAATTAAAATCTTTTCTTACAAATGAGCCATTATGGAGATTTCTTAATTTTTCCGTTTCTGTTTCCGAGTATATAATATACTTTATTGAAGTATATTTTATACTCAATTGGGGGATGGATATTTCAATTCGAAGATGATTGTTTTGTATCAGGGGGTGTTGTAGCAACTGCTCTTAAGTGTAATATAAACGTCAGGTACTAAGTGGCAGAATAAAAGGGTCAAAACATTAGGGTCAGAATAGCTTGACACTCACTTTTTTTACTTTTACATTCTGACCCTAATTTTTTTATCCTAATATTCTGACCCTCATTCCTTCACCTTCACATTCAAGCCCTCAGTTTTTGACTCCAATATTCCAACCCTCATTTTTTAACCTCCACTTTTTGACCCTTATATTCTCACACTTAGTGTCTGACCCTTATATTACAATTGAGAGCGCTTGGTACAACCCGGGCTGATACGAAATAATCACCCTCGAATTGAAACACCCATCCCCCATTCGAGTATATTTTTTTCCGTGTACAAAAATAATGTTTCATGCTAATTGGCACTGTTAAAAGTTTTCGTTTCAATTTTCCGTGCCAAATTCCGGAAATTTTGATCGTGTTCAAGTTCCACTAAAATTTCAAGAAATTTTGTCACTGAAAAATCAAATATTCCATTGATTTTCTATTCAAATAATCTAAAAATCAATAAAATACTTGATTTTTCAGTTCAATTATTCTGTGGAAATTCCGAAAAATCAAGAAAATTCAGGGAAAAATTGAAAATTCATGTTATTTATTTTCTGAATATTCATTTCCACTGAAAATTCAATAAGGTTGTGAAATTTTCATCTCATTCTCACCGAAAACTCGCGAATTTCCGTGAATTCTTCTTTCAAACTTGAAACTTCATTACCATTTTTTCCCGACATCCAATTTAATATCACTCTCATGAGATTTACTATAATATCTTCCACGAAAGACCAAAAAATTTCTAACAGTGCAGCTGATAACTTCGAAAAGCAATCTGGAACATTTAATTTAAAAAGTATACTAGACCTAAGACCAACGATCAACGTCCTATAGAAGTTTTGACTTGATGTCATATTTTAACGGATGAAACCCCTTAAGGATGCGCTGCTCCACGTGGTAAAAAATCGTATAGAAATTTTCTATCCGGATTGCGTGTAGAATTTCTACAGGACTTTTGTATATGATATTCGGATAATTTCTATACGGATATCTTTTATACAAATTATTTCTATACGATTTCTGTAGGTTTGATCCTATACGATCACTGCCACATCTATAGAAATATTTCGTATGGAGTTGCGAAATTGCTCTACGTTTTTCTCTGGAGCGTTTAGACATCTTTCGTATGAAAACAAAAATTTATGTAAAAAGTTATGTATGGAAATAATTCGTATCAAAAAAATTCGTATAGAAATATCCGGAAATCATATACGGAAATCCTATAGAATTTCTATACCTAATCCCTATGGAAAATTTCTACACGGAGAGAAATTTTCTAGAAAAATTCTAGTACGAGTACTGGAAAGAATCACAATCCACCGGCTGTGAAAAATGCTAGTGCTGTTAAGGTAAAATTTCTTGGTATTTTTGGGAATTTCTGTGAAATTTTTATAGAAATATGAGGAAAAATTCACGTGTTCTCCAATAAAATATCTAGTGCCGGCATTGGAATTTTTTCCTGACCGTCGCTTTGCGCCTCTTTTCCCGTGCTAGCACTACAATTTTTCTAAAAAATTTCTCTCCACGTATACGATTTTTGCATACGTGGATCCTCTTACCCAAGATTCATGTTTTATCAAATTTCTGATATACACTTCTTTCTTGATCGGATTGAGGCGAAAAAACATATCTTTTAAGCAGTTTATCATTATTTAATAACTTATAAAGTTTCATTACCGTGCAACCATTTACCTGATTTTTTCTCAACTTTTCAGAAATGAACAGAACTGTGTAAAAATCCTAAAAGTGGATTACATTGTGTTACTAGTGCGTAAAGTCGCAGGTTGTGTTGCTTTACACACGAGAATCTCTTTTAGACACGACGTGCCGTAAACAAACAATTTACGCCCCCCAAACCGCTTCAAAAAGTGAACTTTGGAGGTAAATTTTATGAAAGAGTAATATACTCTTGAGTTATATTGAGTCTAAGTAGTTTCGTCATTTCATCAGCCTAATCAATAGTTAGTACGAGTTCTGGTGCTGGTTCTGCTTAGACTCTGAGTGAGCGGTATTTCTAAGGGCTCATATACAGAATAATATTCCAATGATATTTCAAGCAATGCTTACAATATCTTGATGAGACATCAATTTGAGAATTCCTTGGCTACCGAATTGTTCAATCAGTACATCGCACATTTTGGCAATATTGCCTGTAATATCCGTCACTGCAGACTCTTTTTTATGCATTTGCCAGTCTTTCATGCTTTCGCTGAGGTCCTCATGATCGATTTTAACTCCGCTCATAGCCTTTCTATATTGAAGTTCATAACGATCCATTTGATTTTCCTCTTCCATCGAGAATTCCGGGCGTTGGGGTCCACGCGTGCCAGCAAAAGCGATTTCATCATAATCTTTGAGTTGCTGGACTGCGAGATCCAATTCTTCAAAAGATATTCCACCATTCCCCAGGTATTTCCATATGGGTTTAGCTGGAAGCAGTTTCCAAGAATTGAATAAGAGCAGTGTCTATATACATGCAGAAATTTCAAGGAAGAGTGGGGTATAATAAACCGCCTACAATCGTCAATAATTTGACAACGGCCTAGTCGAGTTTCTCTATTTCTTGAAATTTTCAAAGATTCTTTTTGTCTAGTAGAATTTGACGAGTGAATGCCGTGCGTTCAACCCCAGTCTTCTCTATATTTCGATACAAGTGTGGAAAATATTTGATACACGGAGAAAAAGTTGGCGAAAAATTACCAAACGAGTCAAGTAATCGTGGAGCAAAATCCATTTCTAGGTCTTTTTCACCATACATTGAAGCAAAAAGTGCGAGACAAATTGTGAATTTTTCTCCACTGACACGGGAAAATTTACTAAACGTGAGGATAATTTGCATCAAAACGGTAAAATTTACACTTTTAGATTGTTAATCGGGCGGAAAGTCAAGACTTTCCGCCCTTGGGAGCAGCTTTCCACCCTAGGGCGGAAAGTACTCACTTTCCGCCCGCTCATCAAAGAGCAAAATACGAACTTTCCTTTGCAGGCGTGTTAAAATAGTATATTTTCCATCAAGGGAGGGAAAATAAAGGAGCCGTGCCCACGTGCAGAATTACCACCCGAGCCGAAGGCGAGGGTGGTAAGCACGTGGCTAAGGGTTCTTTATTTTCCGGCATAGGCGGTAATATAATTGTTTCGCCCGCCGTGGCGAAAATATAATTTTTCTTCACAATGTCCGCGAAGGGCGTTTGACGGACACGAAGTGTCTGTAAAACTACGTTTACGGACAACGTGATGAAAAAACTTTTTCCGTACTGTGGCACTAGTCGTGAACGATATTTTTCCCTAGTGATTTTCACTTTTACGAGTTTGGGGAAGGGTCAATAGCAATCCCCGGACGAGGAAAAGTGAAGGTCAGTGCGGAAAAGTTTTTTTCACACTGCTGCTACGTTCACCTCGTGCCGAAAAGTGCCTTGTCGTTTACAGATAAATGAACAAGGGCACAGTTCAGCCACTCGTTGAACGTAACACCATTGTCAAATAATATTGTTCGACGGGAATTTTCACGAGTGTGATTGGCAGCCCGAGGCAAAGCTGAGGGCAGCTTCACACTCGTGAAAATTCCGTCTCACTCGTATTGAAATATACTATTTCGGCCTAGTGACGAAATGTACTATTATTAAGCAGTCTGTACAGTGCCGTTTTACGGACTGTACGATAAAATAATGAATTATGTCACCAGGTCGATGAGTAATATTTAGAGTTCTCAGTTATGTAATCTTCTGGTCCTTACCCGTTGACAAGATTTTCTCAATCATACCCGAGGCCTGATAAACTCCGAGTATGACAAATAAAACAATTCCTTTTTTCCACATTTTAAGGATAAAATGTGAAAATGTGATGAAAATATAATTGAAATATTCAAGTTGATGTATCACCACTTTGAAATATATAACATGTATTGAAATATGAAATAGTTATATATTGAAATATATAACAAATATATAACATATGGAAACTGGTACTTTATATGAACGATGTCAATTGACGAGGCACTGAGGCTTGTTCGATTTCGGGTTGAGAATATATAGGGAAATCTCAAATGATGTCATACCGCGGAAATCATCTTCTTTATGTTCACATACGTTTTTTTATAGTTTTTCATAGGTTTTTATGAATGTGTATTTTTTTGGTAGATGTGATGAATTGCAGCAGCTGTGGAAGCTTTTTTGGCTCCAGTATTCCAGGAATGAAAATTTGGTTAGGTCTAAATTGTTCTTTAGAATTTAACAAACATTTTGAAAAAAAAAATGTCATTTGGACGAAAACTGAGGCTGAGAATAGTAATTTCCTTTTCCACTTCGATATGAGATTATAAAATTTTGTTTTGTTTATCTCTTGGACATAGACTATTATAACTGCTTTTGTGACAATTATGAGAACCTACATAGAATCCTAATCAGCTATATATGAATGAATAAATAATAATAAGAAATACAAAGCTGACCAAAAACGACTAAAAATGCCAAAATTTTTTGAAAAATGATTAAAAATATATATTGCAAAGTTATTTAGATAGGATAATTAGTCTAATGGCCTACAGAACATATACAATGCAAGGAATGCTTTCTGTCATGAGTATTTTGCTCAAACTCAATACCTTCATGATTTCATTGGTAAATTTTATGTGTATTTAATTTGGTGCTGTAATTGATTTTGTGCTGTTAAAATTAAATAAATAAATTTCCCTTTTTTACTAAATTTTTAGCACATTGCTGGAATAGTTCTCATTAGCAAAACGCGTTCCTTGAGAAACAAATTAATAATTCATCAACACTGAGAGGAAAATCGAGATAATATGACAAAAATAATTTCGTGGGTGAAGAACATCGCATGCACAATCGATCAATTCATGGTAGGTTTCAGACAAGAGATCGGTGCTCTTCGGACAACATGAGTACGATACTCAATGAAAAAATTATATTTTTTCTGAAAATTAGATAATATTCCTGAAGGGAGAGAGTAAGTTTGAGAAAAGGAAAAGATGTTATTACTTTTCTTCAAACTAATTACGATTGAGAGCAAGTGACGGTTATATTTTAGAAGTATCTGAAGGTTCTCCCCTGTATAAATTCTGTATACATTCAATATGGAAGTCTCTGATCCATGATTCACCGAATCGAAGCTTTTAGTAATTTTAGTAATTTTATCATTTTTGACACGAAATAAACGATTTTTCGAGGCAAGAAATTTACACTTTATCGCCAAGTGTTCTTGTTCAAGTCATGAACATTTCATAGGATTCTTGCACGGTCTGACTCATTATGCGGAATTCTTAGCCCAAGCGCTTTATCCTTAAGAGATGAGATATTTAACGCAACAAATTAGTTTTGCTATGTTATATCGATATTTCTCTCAGTGTAACAAAAAGCAATGGATCACACAAGAAGAAGCAATTATCACCAGATTACTGCGAGCGTAAGGTGCTGAAAGGAGCAGAATATCAGGAGTAGAGTTTCAGGTATCTTTACAATGAATCAACCAAATCACTGATTTCATGGATTAAAAAGAATCAAACGAATTACTGTGCTTGAAACTCTACAAGAAAATATCAAAAAATATTGTCTCATAAAATTCTTCACAGAAAGTATAAATCCATCAGCTCATGACACATTTGCGAGAAAAAAGATGATTATTTTTGGCCGAAAAGTTTCGAATTCAAAAAATCAAAATTTGTAAAAAGCATCAAAATGGACGATAAGCCAATGGCGTCGGATATTTTATTACGTCGATGATTTTCCTTGTGGCGTCCTTCATGTGGATCCGCATTCCGAATAAAACTGATAAGGTAGAAGGAAGACATCAAATTTATCCTTAATAAATTCCAAAAGATATGATGACATTCGTCTTTTGAATTCGATTTTGCTTCCGAGTGCAAGCTTTGTCATCACGTACATTTAAGTTCCCTCTTTTTTATATTAGGGTAACTAAATATAGACTAAATAATTTTTTTTTTTCATTTTTTTATAAAAAAGGATCGATCGAATTCGCTGAATGTTTTCATGAATATGAACATTAATAAACTCTCAACCAATTAAAATTCTATTTTTCTTACAGATTCTAAAAAATCTATATTTTTCCACAAATCGATTTTTCACCGATCACTGAAAAAATTGACATCAAAATGAAATTAGTCATCGCTGAAAAATTGATAACAATAGCTTCTTGATTCTATGAGAATATGATGGGGTCGCATAATTCGTTGTTAACTTACATGCTATTGTTTATGCGATTTGGAAGAGAAAATCGTTTGTTTCCAGATTACTGAAAGAATTATCAGTAATAGTAATCAAATCAGGGTTTGAAAAGTACATTGCAATGCCTTCTTAATCAAGCTGAAATATTCCGAGAACAGCATCATTGTTTATCATGTTATACAATACTGTCATGAGTTTTTTATATCAAAATCTCAATCTCTATTAAATTCAGGTACCAGCCTATTATGTTGAATACTTAAGCAGAACCTGGGTTAAACTTTGGCTAAATCCTGAATAAACCCTGATTGAATTGTGGGTATACGCCGATTAAATCTTGATTGAACCTTGTTTAAACCCGGACTGAAAACGAATTCGATCTTTGAGAGGGTCTAAATGTAAGATTATTTGACAGAATGAAATAATACGCAAAATTTGTACGACATTCCAATTGATGACAGTTGATGAAAAAATAAAACAAGAGAATAGTGGAATGAGCATCAAAAAAAGAGAACCCATTAGGTGCATATTGCTAACTTATTAGCAACAATAATTACACTGATTTCCAAAAAAATGCAATTGTCCACTTATTTTTCGAAATTCACCTAAATAATTATGTTTGTAATAATTATCATTTGCCACGCATTCGAAAAATTACGGCGTAAATGTAATCACTTTCAGGAAATGTTTAGAATTTGTTCATTGACAAATTTTTTCTGAATTTCGAATGTCATCGCTATCTATCTGAACATAAAGGTTTAAGAGAATTTTTTCGGAGCACTTAAACGCGCCAAAAAATATTGGAAATATTGACATAAAAACTAGTCCCTAAGAAAGTTTGAAAAAAGAAATCATTAATTGGATAAAAAAAAGAAATCATCCCTAAAAGGAAGAAATCATTAATTTTACTGATTCGATCTTTGGGGTCATTATTAACTCCCTTTAGTTCCCTTTGGGTCGGGAAGTTGAAAATAGTAAATTATTTACGGGAAAGGCAAACAGGACAATTGTAAGGGTCAAATGGCACAGACAAGTGTGAAAATCCTAAAGGCCAACGGAAAATTTTCAAAGTCCATCTTTTGTAAGTGATCGTTTTAATCAGCGTTTTTTTTTTTAATATTACAGGAAGCGATGATTCAACCAATTCCGCATATTTATTCTTACAGGTGGCCTCGGGGAAGTTTATAGCCTCAGCGAATCTTATCGCAGTCTACTCCACGTGTCTCCCGAGCGATCAATAAATATTGTTGAGTTAGAAGCAAAACATGCATTTGGATTTTTAGAAAATCGCTAACTCCACTTGGACGATGCCCTTTTGTAACCAAGGGTAGAATACACTCGCTTTTTCAACATTTTTCTCGTTATTTTTCCATCTACTTTGATATTGAATGTTTCAAAAGCTTATGATATCATAGAATACTTGCAATTGTTGTCGAAAATAAAACGAAATCACCGTCGAAAACCTCCCGAGTTGTTTCGAGGTGGTTATTCATTTTTCTTTTGCTGTTTTTCATTTGTTTCTGTTTTCACTATCGATTTTGCCAGTAGATTTTTTCATTTGCAAAGTAATACAAAGAATGATCCTGGTTCCCCTCCTATCTACACTGTTAGAAAAGAAATTTCATGGACAAGTGATTAGTAATTTTGAGGGCAGTGCCACTGGACGCAATTTAAGGTACTTCCTCAGTGAGTTATACTTGGTGAAAATTTCGCAATGAACTGAAGACCTAAAATTTGGATCATATGTTGTTGAGCAAATGTGAAAATGATTCCCAAAATTTAAATTATTTTTTCCACGCGAATTTTTGAGATATGCATCGACAAAAACTTTAAAAAGACAGAAATTGAATGTTTAATGATGGATATCTCAAAAATTCGCGTGGAAAAAATACTTTAAATTTTGGGAGTCGTTTTTGCATTTCCTCAACAACATATGATCCAAATGTCAGGTCATCAGTTCATTGCGAAATTTTCACCAAGTATAACTCACTGAGGAAGTACCTTAAGGGGAAACAAATTATGAAATTTCCGATTTCACTGAAAATTCGATAAAATTCCAAAATATGAGATGCGCGAAGATGAAAATCCTTCAAGTTATTTGAATTATCAATGAAGTTCCACTCTAAGATTTCAATAGTTTTGAAATCAATGATTACCACTGATTGATTAAATACTGGAGTCACTCGAATTCACAATGAATAAAGTTCAATTAGGAAGAGAGAAGGGGGAAAACGGGTCGTTTTAAATTTAAAAAAACGGCTGTTCACCAAACAATACTGTTTAGACGCGCATGGTCTCATTTTAAAGCGTTGTAACAATAAATGAAGAATGTATCTCCAAATTCAGTTAATTTCATTTGACTGTTTTTGTATAATAGTTTAAACTTGTCTCAAGGAGGGGAGACGGTGGAAACCAAAATCGTATTATATGGGCCGTTTCCACGTGACGGCGATTTTCGCGAGGGATCGCGAAGTTCACACTTCGCATTAAATCGCGATGTAAACATCATTGTGGCTAGTCGTAATTAAGTTGAAATTGAAGTTTTTTTTTGTTTGAAAAATAAACATGAAAAATGTTTTATTTTGCCCCACTTGTAACTAACTAAAAAAATGGGTTTTAAACTTGGAAATTTAATAACAGCAATAAAAAATAACAATTAAAAGAAAAAAATTGTAAATTTAATTTAAACGAATTAAAATTTATGATAATTGATGAAACTTCTGAAATTACGATATTTAAAATTGGGAATAAAAGAGATGGATTTAACAGAGTTTGAATTGGAAATTTTGAAT